AGCAACAAATATAGGTAGGTTGCAAGACAAAGGTTTTCATTTTAAAAGGGAGACCTTTTGCCACGTTTGCGCCTCCCGTCCAGAATAAAACAGTGAAAAGGAAGACCTAAAACGGAGAAGTTTGAAAACGCTGTTGACCCCCTTTTTTGTTTTGAAACTCCGGAGAGCGTTTTATTGAAGACGGGCAAAAACAGAGGACGCTCACGTTTGGCTCTCTGATTGGTTCTCATAAGTCATGCAAAGCAGAAACACAATGCTTATTTAAATATTTTTTCCTTCCAAATAACACTTAGGCTATAGCCTACACTTGTAGGCTACTACTGTGTGTGCCGTAATTATTTTGTAATTGCCTCCACAGCCGTTTTAACTCCCATGTTACACTCAAACAGTCTCAGCTCGTTACTGATCCATGCAAAAAATATCTGGTTCGGTTCTTCATCTGCATTATTTAATTCATTCGCCAAATCTTAGCCAAATTTTCTGAACTACTGCTTCATGTTTACACCGGCACGCACATGCCCAATGTACATGAACGGCCATCAGATGTGCGTTTTCAGACGTTTTAATGTAGACGGAGATCAACTCTGATACGCAGCTAAAACGCTGGTATGGACGGAGATCGTATTCGATTCAAAACTCCATTTTTAAACAAAAACGGAGTAGTGAGGATGGGGCCAAAGGCACAAAGAGAGTTGGGGGTGAGGTAGAGAGAGACAGACAAAGGGAGATGGATCCACTACCTATGCAGACTACAGCAGGAAAATCTGTCTGGCCTCCCCCTCCCCGAGCAGGCTATTACAGTAATGATTGCAACCGCCAGAGTGACGTCATGTATCTATAGCATTACTGCATGCACTGATGTACAGGACAAAGAGAGTGAGTGAGAAAAGCAAGGCAAGAGGGGGAGGCAGGGATGGAGAAAAACAGGGCTGGGGAGAGAGAATTGAGAGAATGTAGGGATATAGGGGATCAGAGGGCAAGAGGAAGTGTGGTAAATACGAATGAGAAATAGAAGGGATTAAAGACAAAGAAAACAGCGATGGGAAATTAATTTGCGTAGGCCCCTCCCTCATTTGACTCGCCCGGCTTTGTTACATGTGCAGGTGGAAAAATCAGCTTGAACACATATTAGATAACAGGGCCCCCCCATCACACACACCCACATTCAATTGCCCTCCACAGTCCAGTTCACAAAAACAATAAAACACTTATTGCGCACATATGCATGTTGGTGGCTCCTCCACCCGACATGATTAGGATAATGAACGCTGTGACAAAAGGAGACCGCCAATTATCTCGTTCTTTAATCCTAATTGGCTGGAGATCACTATCACTCTCTAATCTGATGCACAATGCTTCTAAAACGGAGCACACGGTTCAAATGAAATCTTGTACTTGTGGAGCGCTGTGCTGAAATCATGTGACAATCAAGCTTATCCTGTATTCACGTATGGAAAGTAATTGAGGCACTCTTGTGCACATTCCCACAGTTCCATGCATTGACTACTGGGAGCTGCCCAGTACAATCAGCTTTCATTTATTGGCCACTGAGCAACTCTGAGCAGCTGGTGGTTAAGTGCCTTGTTCAAGGGCACCTTGATGGTACACTGCAAAAATTCCCCCACTACTAACAAGAAAAATATTGGGTAATGAAGAGAAAAGTACTACTTTCTAGTTATCTGGAACAAATTTAATAATGCAAATTGTGTTTGACAAGATTATTTATCTTGTAAAAGAAGCAAATCATATTAAATCATCCTAAATATAGACTTATATTATTATTGCCCTCTTGCAGTTTAAAGTAGATCTTATCTTATTATAGTAGAACTCTAATAGCAGGCCCATTGCAGTGTAATTACTTCCTCTTATTAAAAGATTTCCAGACAAACTCCATATGACTTTGAAAAAAAACATCTTTATTTTGCACACAGATGTGTCATCCACTAAGAGTTATGATCAACGTCCGTGTTGGCAGTTGAAACCAAGCTACTTGGCTGAAGTATATCACTGATATTTCCAGAGCACAAAGACAGAGAGGCCCTTTATTTTAGGCAGGCATGGCAGGGGGCGACCTGAGGAGCTATGAAACAGGGGGCCTCTTGAGCGCGACCACCCCAAAGACAGCCCGGTGCCCGGCTGACACTTTGAGAGCTGCAGAGGAATTTACCGTGACAGCGGAAACAGCCTCTCCTCAGGTGGATGTTCATAAAGGCAGAGCCAGGGCACGAGCAAGCGTGCAAGCACACACACACACACACACACACACACACACACACACAAACACATATCCAGACCTTAGCAGTGAACCCTGCCAAAGCTCACCTCCCTGTAACCTTGGTGGTGAGATTCTAGGAAAATGTAAGCCTTTCCTCACCTTTAGATCCTCAAAATGTTCTCAGCCACCCTTGTACAGGGAGGTCCTGTCAACACAGTGTCAGATTAACACTCATATTATCATGTTTCTCAAAGAGCAAGCATGTCCACTAACTATTAAAACTGAAGTCTGCCTTCCTACAACTTTCAGCGTCCAAACAGGAGCTTTCTAAGCTCAGTTGAATGTTTATGTATGAGTACAACTAGTTGGTTCCTAGCTCGTTTCCCGGGGGCATGATTAGTGGGGGAGAAACACTTCCTGTTACAAGAACAAGTATTTCAAAAGTAGTGGTATTGGGGCCTTGGTGGGGACCCAGACAAGGGCTGTTTACATCATGGTATGGTTGCTTTGTTGAGAGTCCAAAAAAAGGTCACGTGGCAAAACCAAGGGAGCCATTATAACATCCAGTTGCTGTCGTCAAACTGAAGACTGGGGTAGAAGCCAGGGCAGGCCTGCGCTTGATCAGCAGGGCCCCTTCAGCAGGCGTCCGACCAGAGCCAACCTGGTTGTGCATTAGTAACCAACTCTATCTACTGTACTTAGGGGCAGAACCATTCCTTGGTTCCGATCCAGATCAATCAGAGAGGTATGCCTGTGAAGAAAGTCTGAACTCTGGTGACCTGGCAGCGCAGGATGAAACAACACGCATCCTGGCTCTGCTTCCAGGTATTTCCGGAGTGCACCGTGGGCCTATTTTACAGTGAACCCACATATCGGCTTTCAAACTGAAAGTAAGTGAATTTGTGTGCATAAGCGCACATGTATGTTTGTGTGTGCATATGTACTATCAGCACATATGCACGTATGTCACTAACATGTGTTTCTGATGAGTCAATATATATCTGCATTTCAAATAAAGATAATGAGAAGCAGAGCAGGAGTGAATGAAAGGGAGAGGGGGAGGAGTCTGGTATCTATAGATGGGGAGGGGGGGGACATTCCTGAAGCCTGATGTCGGAGGTAAATTAAAAATATCCCTGGCTGCTTGGAGGGGGTCCAAGGCGGCTGACACACACTGCTCAGTCAGGGAGCTTGCTGCTGATCCAGTAAGCGCTCACTCACAGCCAATTATGCTTCCTGTGATGTGTGTTCAACCCCCCTTACACGCCCCCCCGCTACCCTGCCTCCTTGCCTTTACCCCTCTAGCCACACCAGCCAGAGAGAGAAAGCTGTCAAAGAGCCGGGATCAAACCTCCAATCAAACGCTGGCTGTCACACACCCAGGTGATGATTAATGGCTTATATTCTCTGACCCAGAGAAGAAAGGAGAACAGAGAGTGAGCTACAGATGGGAGTTTTCAACTCATTACAAAGCACAGTAACATGTGTGGAGAAGACCAGGCATCCTCCGTGTGTTCGTGCAGCCCAGCAACTGGCACTGGCAGGCAATTACGATGTTGAGAGATGAAAGCTTCCCTCCATTAAGAAAGCAAGGTTGTCGAAGGTTTTCTTCACTTCCAGGCAAATTAACAAATTAGATACAAGGGGTTCGCTATTCACCTGTGTGTCGCTCTCTCGTACAGAAGCCCAGAGCCCAGAGGTTCTCCCTTACTTTCCCACACACACACTAACGGACTCACAGTAAGGGTCTCGCCACTGGCGCCCAACCGTGTTCTGCGGTGGAAACCAAACACTGGCCTGTTTTGACTGGATGTGATCCTTGTTTCCGGGCGGAACGCTGCCAGAGGCAGATTGATGGCTCTCACCCAGAGGAGGACGTTTACAGGAAAATCCTCCTGGCTGGAATTCTCCTTCTTTTCATATTGGACTCGAAACACAGGGTCGCAGTCATGGCTGCGCTGGGGCAAAGTGCTCCCCAAGTGATAATGAAGGGAATGTTGCTGTGCATATTGCCACACACACACACGTTTGTACTCCTGTACTTCTGGGGGCTGTCATTAAAACAATGCATTTTCTAGCCTCTAGCCCTAACCTTAACAATCACAACTACATACCTAACCCTACCACTTAGTCTAACCTTGTGCACTGGTTTATTACAATTTGGGTCTTATTTTAATATTTTTGGCTGTCATATCTATTGATTATAGTAATTACTTGAGAAAGTCCAGCGGATCAACACACGAGTAGTCAGATGATCATGCAGGCTGTAAACAACCCAACAGTTTAGCCATATAGTCTAAAAATCAGGGGTTGTCAAAGTCTGAGACTGTAGGCCTCCCCTCAGACAAAGCTTGTAAAGGGCGCCCCTTCACAACCTCTTAGTTTACTTGCTTAGTTTTGTGTAATTCCCGGATACCTATGGGATCATGATCATGTTATTTGATCCCATAGACACTCAACAATTGGGCCAAGATACCTAATATTGCTGTCTGACATAACTTCAGACCATAGCAAATACATAAAAACGTTCTGTCCTAAGGCATTTTACAGTAAACTTATCCCAAACTACTGTATCTCTGAACAATCTCTTTGACCAAATCATACACATTTAGGCTATTCTATGTAATCTCCTTCTGGTAACTAATTTAAATTGTTTTCACTTCCATTCACTGAGCCTCCCTTGAAGTTGTTTGGAGTCCCCTTGGGAAGGTCCACCTCGCACTTTGAAAACCTCTGGTCTTAATCATTTTATTTATAGGTAAAACAAAAAAAAATTTTGGTAATAGTCCCTCATTGCACAGGAAAAGTGTGTACATGTACAACTACAGTGTGGTAGGTCAAACTTGTATGATCATGTGGTTGCTCATGTTTCCTGCTACATCTGACTTTTTTAGCAGTGAAACTGATATTACAAATATGAATGAAGGCCAAAACTAAAGACCCAAGTTCCAATTAAGCTTTAAGTATTAACCCTCAAATGGCTCTTCAAAATGTGAAGCGTCCTCACTTTCAAGGTATAAATCTAAAACTGCTAACAAAGATATAAGTTCAAGAGCACACAGATATTCTAAGTACAGAAAAATACACATATACGGACACATTAAACAATATACTTGTACACACAATCCAACTCCAATATGTATCTGTCATCATGTACACACACTCAAGTTGAAGCCATATGAATGAAAAATCTTCTCTGCTCCATTCCTCCTCAGCAACAGGAAGACAGACCATTTGCTTCCGCAGTGGGTCATCGAAGAGAAAGACGAACACTGAGAATAAAGCAGCAGAGGGAAAAAAAGGAGAGATAGGGAAAGACAAGAAGGAGGAAGGAAGAAGGGAAGAGGTTGGGCAGGATGTGGAAAGAGGAGAAAATGACAGAATAAGGTTATATGTATACCGATACTCAAACATGCATACTTCCATGTAATTAATATGAACAGTGTTATATGTGCTACATCATCTCTGGAAACGTTGATATATCAATAACTACTGATTTAATTGCACTGTCTTTCAGTTTACTTGCTTGTGTGTGTGTTGTGTTCCTGGTGATGCAATCTCTTGCTTTGGCAGCATAAGAGGAGATATACTGTAGATGCACAGAGAAAGAGAGGGCCGAGAAGTAGAAAAGAGAACAAGTGAAGAATAAGATGAGGAGAAGAGATCGAAAGAGGCAGAGAGAGTAGAAAGGGAAGGAGAGAAGGGGAGTAGTGACAGTGATAGAGAGCTAGCGGACTCCTGGGACAGCAGTAGAGGCGAGTCCATCGATCCAGGACAGTGAGCTGGCTCACATTTCACCTCCTCAGCAGTAATAGCGGCGCTTCACCATGGAACTGAGCCCTATATCCCGTCTGGACAGGGTCACCTCCACTCTATATATATATATGTCTGTCTTTGTGTATGTCTGTGTGTATGTGTGAGACAGACACAGGAAAACAGATCTGAAAAAAATATATGAGAAATTTAATCTGGAATATTAAAACGATTTCACTTGATTTCAGTGTAAATCAAATTATTTAAAAATTCTTTAAGGACCTTGATAGAAATGAATAACGATAAAACACATTCACTAATTTATATTTTTGATATGATAGGCCATGACACTATTCACATCTAATTTAAAATGAAGGGCATCCCAGCCAAGGAACGTTGTGAGCTGATGCTTTTCATCACGCTGCTGTCCCACCACATGTCTTCTAAACACTGTCCAATTTGGATCGTCCCTTAAGTCACATGGCGTTGTGATCAGGGGGAACTGATAGCCTGAATGAATCACGTCCATCCGTAAGTGGTGGGCTGTGAAGGCGACTGGGCTTGGCTCTCAAAGCCATCCACTGTCATCCGAGACAGCCAAGCCATGTGACAGACGACCGAGCATGTGGCATCTCACTGACCCCTGACCCGGAAACCTTTCCCCTATCTGCCCCTGCTGTGGCTAACGGATGGCCCAGAACCTCAGTGATCACCGACCACTGGGGATCTTTTGTGTGAGTGGTCAATCACATCAGAAAAGGTTACGCAGGGGTCACATCAGAAACAGGTGAACTCTGACCCTCCGCTGCAGGCCCTAGGCTGTGGTATTTGGGTTGGGTGTGTAGGAGCATTGATAAGATTGAGACTCATGGAGACAGATGACAGATAAGATTGATGCAACTGTTTGCAATGAAAATTGTATGTATGAAAACAGACCACACAGACAAGATAAAAGACCAACTTTACAATGAAATGAATAAAGAGAAGACTAAACTATGACCTTCATCAAGCAATCTTCTATCAAACTGATAACTTTCATGTACTGTATACTGATTTATGTGAGGCTACGATGGCGAGCACAGTATTAAGTTTATGAGCTTACTTAAGGCCACAATTGTATAAAACAATGTTAAAGGCCAGAGATTAATCTCAGCAGCATTAATATACGTCAGCCTTAATATACTTTACCAACTCATCCATTTCTTATTTGCAACATGCCAGCAAACACTTGCCTAACATCCCTTACACGTCGAGCAGAAACATGACAATAAGGGCATCCCTATTGAAGTCTGTCTTTCTTGCTACATGTTACATTCAAGTCCTGATTCAGTTGCATGTTAGACCCAGTTTGGTCCAGCAACTCCCAGGTACTTTTCCAGGCTAGATGTTTGACTTTATTCATCAACCACTTATCTATTTTGGCTCTCTGCCATTTCTAACTAGGCAGTTAGTGTCCAATCTTTTCTTCACTGAGCTGGATTGTTGATTCTCAGTGTGATCTGCAGTACTAGCAACTATTTCCAAGAAGGGTTCACCAAGTTAAATTCAAGACTTTTTAAGATATTTGTAATACACCTGAATGCAATTTGTTTCATGGTCAGACTGTCCAAAGTATGAAAGATATCTATGAAAACCAGTCGGGATGATAAAGCCTAGAATTATTTACCAAGTACATGAATTGATTGACATTGACATTGTATTCCTAAGCAGTATATAACTAATTCCTAATAATTTCATTAATTAATTGTTAAACATAAGCTGGATAAGAAACCTAAAATGGGTGGATGGCTGGTTGTACTGACAAATAAAACATTTTTTCAAAGTCCACATAGGACCAGAGGCCTGGAAAAATAGTACTGGGGAGTTGTCAGACAGTTTTTGCCAAAATCACACACAAAATGTTTTAAGAACTAAAATTACTAATTACAACAAGCTAATAAACATACAAAGTATTTAACTTTGTAAATTAAATGTAATACTTGTAATACCTTTGAAGGAAACTGAAATCAATGCTTTTTTAAGACTTTTTTAAGACCTGCAGATACCCTGTCTTTCACTGTGTTGTTTGAGAGGCACCTGATTAATAATAATATAATTTTATTGAGCTTTAATGCTGGTTTACACTCTACTGATAGTATGACAAGTTAAACTACACTGAAACGAAGAAACAATTTACAGTACCAGAGGGAAAAACACTTCTGTCCTTTATAGTGTCAATTACTGAGGCTAGTTAGGTTTGAGAAAAACTACAATTTCCCTGGCCAGTCTTTTCATATCTTTGTAGGGGGAGCCGGAGGGCAGACTAAGGACTTTTTCTGGACTCGGACCAAAACCTTTTCAGCACCAGTTGGGTTTATACCCCACCTGACAAACATGACCACCCAGCAGGCCAGTGACATTTACAGTGAGCCGTTTCAGCCCATTAGCCAGCATCAGATCCTCATGCTGCGGCACCTCGTGAGCGACACGACCAGCGGGTCCAGGATTTAACTGAACCCAAACACCACCACCATCACCACCTCCTCTGCTTTTGCTGGAACAATAAAAGCTGGGAAGAGATAAATTAAAGTTCATCCCACATACAGTATATTTGGATATGAATCATTGATTGATTTATAGAACTTATGAAAAACAAATGATGCAAATGAAAGAAGTTCAAAGACATAAATAAAATAAAATAATTTCATCCTTATGACTTTACCATGTCGCTGTAGACAGTTTCACAGTTAAGAGTTAATTTTCTACACTCCACAGTCTGAACTCACACTGATCCAAGGTCAGACAGAGGGAGAGACCGCAAAAAACCTGTCACACAGGATCTCTAAACCCTAAACTCACAGTGCTCTTGTCTCAGGTTGGCCTCAGAGCCCGAGGGACACATCTACAACATTGCTAAACTAACATATCCCTGGTCTCAGGTCAGAAATTAAACACAAGGAAAAACAGGGGCTACAGTATGATTTTGGCCTGTGGCAGATGCTTTTCACACTGGAAATGTATTTTTGTTCAGAGCTGTATGACTCACATGCAATCAAAACATCCATGTAAATAACTGTACGTGCACACTTTCAAACATGAACACACACACACACACACACACACACACATTAGTGATTGACAGAGAAATTCCTTTGACCCTCATTTGCTAAGTTGTTCTACAATCCTTGAAATTATATTTATTTATACTTTTTTCCCCTCAGCAGCACACAAAAGGCCTTTTACAACGATGATCTGCACATCCATTTCCTTCCTACTGCATACGAAACATTTCAAATGTTCTCTCTTAAGTGTGAATTTTCTTTCATGGAAGTGAGCCAACAAGAAGTCAACTCTCTCTCTCTCTCTCTCACCATCTGGCCATTCAAATGGATAGTAGTCCCAAAGGTCAAGGCAGCTATGGTCCATCGTGACCCTGTCAATATCACTGCTGCACTTATCTGTAATGGAAGACACTTTGTGCGGCTGATAGTCAGATGGGGGGTCGTAGAACGTGTGCTATGAGCGAGTGTGTGTACGAATTTGTTTCTGTATGTGGGAGCCATGACTGCCTCCATATTATGGCGAGGAACGCAGTTAGGATTCTGCCATTGAAATACTCACCAGTCTAGGGTGCCAACTGTGTGTTGGCGTGAGTGTTTCAGTACACAATGAAAGACTAAATAAGTGTGTCACCTCGCACTGGGAGTTATTCCACCCAGAGTCCTTGACACACTGACTAAGTAACACGATGTATGCAGGGGTAGCGGTGCCTATAAAAAGCCTTGTTGGAATTAAAGCGGGGCTGTCCTCCCTGTAGCTAGCTCTCATAGCGCAGCCCTTCTTGTGCTGGAGCCAGATAATAATGAAATGCTGGTGTGAGACAGGAGACGGGGGAAAGAATCACGCCTGTGGAACAGAGAGCTAATAATAGCAGCTGAAACTGTGCTATTCCCACCACTGACAGAGGAACTATCATCACACTTCTGCACACAGAGGCTCAGACAGGCACTCGCACACACACTGGCTTGGCACGTTGTTTGAACAGTAACCTGATCAAGTCACCGCAGAAACCAAAGCAATCAGAAATCAAAGCAAATCCAGTATATGTACAGTATGTGCACGGGTGTGCATGTGCCGTACAAATGTGAGCGTGGATGTGTGTGTGTGTAGGGAGCAAGGGCGGGCGAGGCACAGATAAATGGAAGCAGAGTTTGGTGAAAAACCACTTTTCCCTCCATAAAGCAAGGAGCGCATGCCTCTGATGTGCCCTACCAGGGAGGAAAGAGAGGAAAGAGGGCCTTTCATTCCGCACGAGGAGATCTGTCTCTTCTCCTTTAGCCCCTCACTCCCCGTCTTCGCTCCTAGAGAGCATCTGAAGCCCATTCTCTCCCTCTCTTCCCCTCTCCATCACCCGCAAATATAACAACATCTCTCTTTGCTCCTAATTGTACCCAGCCGTCACAGAGACGAACGAGGTGAGCAGATTGGGAGAGGAGAAGAGGGAAGTAAAAAGAGAGGAGAGGAGCGGAAAGGAGAGGAGCAGAGAAATAAGTATGGCAGGGAAGAGGAGTCAGGGAAGAAAGGAAGAAAGGAAAGATGTGTTTGTTCAGTACAACAGGCTGACACATCTCTCTTATCTCTTGCCCAGCCAAACCATATGCCCTCAGGCCATGAGGGGAGGAAGGGGAGAAAGATGAGGTGTAAGTGTGTGTGTGTCCTGGAAAGACATACTTTAATGTACCCCCCCGTACATTAAAGTATGTCTTTCCAGGACGCAGAAAGTCATAGAAGAGGCACATGTCATGTACGTAAAAGTTATTCAAGGTCAGCCAGAGATTGAGACAGAAATATAAAAGATGAACAGCGATGAAGAGTGGACAATGAACAGATACATGGCGAGGAACTGACTTGAACCAAAGGGGCTTCTGCCTTGACCCGCAGTCCCCTACAGCTTGCCAGTCGCCTGTTGACCACACACGCCGCCTGGCACAGGGCGGACGCCAACGCCACACGACACAGAGCCACCGTCAAAGCCTCAGACACTCCAGCAGCAGGAGCCATCAGGCATGGCCCTGTGGAAGAAGAAGGGGGGGGGGATCAAACAGTTTTGATTATACACAGGCATTCACTCTCTGGAAACAAAAGTGGACACAAATTGTGAACGTCAAACATTATTTTGACCGCTACTGTATTTGGGAAAAGTTCTGTTTGGTTAGTTTTGTGTTACCAGGCCACAGCCTGAAACCTGCCAAGACATTAACATATAGCTATATAGGTTTGATTTGTTGAGTTGAATGGTGAGTTTAATGTACACAGTAGTATCCTGACTCTGTGACCGGGGCGCTGCCTGTGAGTGTGTGACTGGTCCCACATGTTCAACTCCCGCTGAACCATGCGTCCTGATTCCCCTGTTTATTGACTGGAAACTGAAACCTTTAAGGGCTTCATTCATGCTACATTACGTGGTAAATTCAATAGCCCAGGCATCATGGTTTGGTCATTCACCTTCTTGCCCTGGGTGATTTTTACATGTGTGGATGTCTGCATCTCTCTGCGTTTTCCTTCACAGAAGCCATTCTGTTTCCCAGCGCTCCGTTGCACAGCCTCATTTTAAATAACACCTCCAGTTCGGGCGCTATACGTGCCCAGAGGGCTGGTGAAGTCGTTTTTATTTTATTCAGTGTGAGTTTAACGCCCTTTTAATAGGCACAGAAATTTATCCGGGTGGGGATAGATCCCGATGTGTGACTCCACATTACAGGAGCACCATTAAATGTAAACTCCTGCAAAGTAAGCTGCTTCTAGGAGTAGATCCAAGTGTGTGTGCGTAAGTCAGCGTGTGACCGGCTATCAGCAGCTCATGGTGTGGATTTACAGCGTGCCTCCCGAGTATACTTCCGAGCCATCTCACACACACACACACACACACACACACACACACACACACACACACACACACACACACACTCCTGGGTGCGGAAGGTGCGCTCTTTATCACTGTGACATTCTCATTTAACACGCAGCCCAAGAGCTCTTACATTCACATCCATGTTTCCTGTGCCCCATGCTGAGGCACAATACCAACCACTTAACATTTAGCAATGGCAGATCAGCCCCAAATTCTTCCACTTCCCAACGCTTCCATGGGAAAACTCATTATTTAACTTTGATTTATGGCGCCCATTTAGGAACAGTTGTATCTGCTCTGAACTTCAGTGTTGAGCTGCACTGAATGCAAGTTATGAGCAGAGCCAGCGGGCATTTTTGCATAGAGTGCCCCCCAAGATAAATTAAGGGTTCGCAAGATAATTAAAGGGACAAAAACAAATTTCTGTTGCACATTTATTTTTGTTTGTCTAATTTTGTGAAATGCTGGATACGTTTACCTTTTCTGGCTGCTGAAAATCCTTCAAGTAAAACAATCTACAAGGGAAAAATAAACCATTACCATAACCTATGACAAAGGGGTCGCAATTATGGCTTGCTTTTATAAATTTTTTGATTGTTTGGTAAGTTTAATGTCAGAAAATAGTGGAAATTGCCCATCACAATTTCCCAGAGCCCGTTACGAAATCTTCTAATGGCCAGACAACAGGTCCAAATTCAAAGAAATTAAATTTGCTTTGATGCAAGACAAACTGAAGCTGGCAATATTCACATTTGAGAGGCTTGAACCAGTTTTGTTTGGGAAATAACCCAACATAAAAGAAGTTGCAGATAAATTTCCTGTTGATGGCTAATCTACTGAGCTCTCTGGATTTGCATTTAGGGGTCAAGGGGCAAAAAAGGCTGGTAACAACTGCACTGGGCTACAAATTTCAGCGCTTTTAAAGGCAATTAACTTTTTCAGTAAAAAAAAAAAAAAGTCTGTTTAGAAAGGCCCTTGTGGTTGGGGTCCATCTGTAGGAAGACTCATGGCATTTCTTTTATGTTTCGATAATTGGCCTGCATGCACAGCTTTAGACTGAATATTGGGACCTCTTGACTGAATGCATGTCAGACATCAGTTCAGTTAGCCACCTAAAAGGGGAGCTCATGAAAAGTATGGCGGACTTGTGTTCCTCACTGTATCTCACCTCCGACTTAATGTAAACCAGATGTGACGGATGATGATTTTTCTCTCACTCTTTCATTTGCTACCGACGGATGCTGACCCGGGGCGTCACGGCTTCCCCGGGGTCCCCGTCGGCCTGCCGCCCTATCTCCACCTCAGGGGACGCCGAGCTCCAGCGTTTAACACGGTGATTAATCACACACGGCGGCGGACGTGCTGTGCTGAACACGGCCAATCACCTCCATTAAAGCGGGGGAGCTCCGGCGGACACAGAGAGCACTTTGTGCCGAGGAAACACAGGTGATTGTCTGCCGCGACGCCCGGGCTCGGCGGGGAGACATGAGGGTGGACTGTGCGGGTGTTTTGACAACCTCGGCTGGCTTTTCTGGAAACCGCATGTGTGCCTCATTTCCTATTTCGTATCCTGGCCCGGTCACTAGGATTACATGGGATAAATACAATATAGATCACTGTTTTATCAGTGTACTCCTACTTTGATCAGTTAAGGTCACTCCGCAAACTGTACAACAGCAAAACGTCTGTGAGCTAATTCACAAGTCACGTCCATCATGCTAATGGAGAAGCTCTAATGAGATACTTTCTTGCTCCATTAATATTCTGCAGTTTATCTCCAGAAGTGGTCTCTATCGCCCCCTACGGAGTGTGCCGCCATGCTGCTGCTACTTGTGTGTGACCTCATACAAAATCTAGTTTTTCCATCCATCCATCGTCATCCTGTGTACAGGGTCGCGGAGGGAGCGTATCCCAGCTGACATTGGGCGAAAGGCGGGGTACAGCCTGGACAGGTCGCCAGTCCATCGCACGGCCACATATAGACAGACAACACTCACACCTTTTCTCTGAAATATTGGAGAGAGTTTTACTTCTTTGGGGCTCGAGCACTTATTTTGTGCTGCTTTTTGTCATTCTACCTAAAACTACTTGCCTGATTTCACACAACTGTCTCTACTTTGGTTTAAAGGATTTTACACAACCAACTCAGCAGCTGTCAGGTTTGGCTTCATTAAAACCTGCAGTTCTCAGTCTATGGTGTGGTTGCCAGTTTTCTGCTTAAATTTGGGTTCACTTTTCAGACTTTTCTCTAATTTTAGCTTTTCTGAGAGTTCTTTGGGCCTCGGGGACTTATTTGAATGAAACAATGAGAGAAGTTGACAGGGAGAATCTGTTTTTGGCCTTTGTTGATCTTCAGGTATATATGTTGTGCATTTTTCTCCTTGAGACAGGACCAAAAACAGCTTCACCATGAGCAGATTGAGTTTGCTCATAAATATGGTCAAAAGGTTCAGAACAAGCGAGTAAGTAGGCTGTGATTTGGGTAAGATTTTGCTAACTGTTGCTTCCAAGGTCAAGAATGAACTCACAAGCTAAAGTTTAAATGTTATTGCCTTTTCACCTGTTTAACCCAAAAATCTATTGATCGACTCCAGACTGTCCAGAACTCAGCTGCCAGGCTTTTAACCAGAACAAAGAAATATGACCACATTACTCCTATTTTAGCTTCATTACACTGGCTCCCAGTATGTTTTAGAATTGACTTTAAAATTCTATTGATCACTTTTAAAGCTCTTCATGTCCTCTCGCCTTGTTATATTTCTGAACTTTTAGTCCCATACACACCAGCACGTACCTTGAGATCCTCGGGCAGAGGTCTGCTGTCTGTTCCAGAGTCTTGACTGAAAACTAAAGGGGACAGAGCATTTGCTGTCAGGGCCCCGAGGCTCTGGAACAGCCTGCCCGAGGAAATCAGGTCAGCTGAGTCAGTGAACTCTTTTAAGTCCCTTCTTAAAACATACTTTTATAGGAGAGCCTTTCCCGATCTTATTTTACTTTATTTTATCCCTTTTATTCTATTCTATTTTACTAATTTTATATTTATCTTAAACGTGTATTTTAATTTTTTCAATGTTTTCATGCTTTTATCTTGTATTGTTTTTGTATTATTGTCTTTTGGGTATTATTGTCTTAACACTTGTTAAAGCACTTTGTAACTTGTTTTTGAAAAGTGCTCTACAAATAAAGATTATTATTATTGTTATTATTATTATTAGAGAAAAAAAAATCCAAAACTGTATACTTAAGTTTTTGATTTTGCAATAAAATGTGGCTCAGTATTTCTTATGCAACCTTAAAATAGATTGTCCTTCCTAGAAAAACATTAAACAAGTTACTGGTGCTTAAAACCACTCAGTGTTGACAGGGTAGCTACCTGTACAGGTTGCCCATGAAACATTTGGAGGTGTGTTTGAGTTAACTCAATGTGTTGGGAAGGATGGCAGCAGGATAATTCCTAGTTTCACCTTTGCTTGCATTATGAAATTATGGTTTTGTCTCATGAAAATAATGATACAACTTTTCCACCAAAGCAGCACAATGTATGCAGTGCATCATCACATGCTGCAGTATAGATGTCTAGTGATATGATCAATCCAGAGAAAGTTGATAACTGGTAGAGCTTGGACGCTCAGGGAGTGAAGCCAATCAAGAGAGCTGTCAAAGAGGCTTTTCATTAGCCCAGCAGGAAGCTGGACAGCAGTGTCACCGATGGGGACTCTTCAGTCTGGCAGACATACAGGCGGGCAGAGCCTTGGCACTGGAAGTGGAGCCGGCATTCTGGTGGAGCAGTGGCTGGCACCAGGAGCCGCCTGGCCTCTCCAGTGGCAAAGAGGGAGATCACACACACTCCGCCACACTCCTGCTGAGGAGCAAACGGAGGCTGGCAGGGAGGGCTGCTCCTGAAAAGCTGCTGTTGTCTGGAGATGGCTTTCATGTGAATGGGAGCCTTAACAGGCGTTGTGCGACGGCTCTCGCTGCACGCTGAGCACCGAGTGATCCTCTTCTGTTGAGTTTTAATTAATAAGCAATGTTTGAAGGCCACAATGCACTTGGAGAGACAACACAGTGACTCCTTGGTGGCCTTGATGCCGTTTGTTTTTGAGTCGAACTCCCACTGAGGTGACCACATACGCTGGGAGGTGCTGATGTTTTTCATAAACTATTTTCACTCATTCTAAAAAAAAAAAAAAAAGACAGAACACTTTAAAGGTCTACCAGAGTGATGTGACTAAGTTATGATACTGAAAGTATGAAATGGCAAAAGCATCTGAAAAAAAGCCCAAAACAATGTTAGTCAGTCAAATATGTGGGTAAAAGTAATGGTAGAGCACAATTGTTTTCCCTCCAGAATGTTAAGTTCCTAAAGTAGTCAACTTGTAAAATTACAGTTTTTTTTCCAGAGTTTGTAGTGATGCTGTCATATGCAGTGCCTTCTTTTGAACACTTTATCCTCAAAAGTAACAAGCCAAGATGCCACCCAATCGATACCCTTTGGTCTGAAGCATTTTAGGAAGGGCCATCTTATACTGTCACAATAGCGCTGAACCAGTATTATGCAATAGATGTATCAAATGTTCATCAAACATTTTCAGCCAAGTGTTGACCTACGCTTTACTAAAATACACCATCCCTGTAAGAATTCTAAAAATACAGATGACACGACCCATGAGGACAGGCAATGCGCTTCTCTTCATAATTCTTTGATGGACTGAAGGTGCCACCTGGTGGATTATAAAGACATCAGCAACTGAAGTGCAGTCATCAATTGTACTTACTCACAATATACTGGCATTGCTTTGATTCATAGAAGAACTCCAACACAGGTGTGAAATAAATCTAGAGTCAAATCATGTTTGTCCTAGCCTAAGAAAATGAGACCATATATTTAATAGTCTCCATTGTTTCACAAAATCAATGTGCTCTAGGGAATAACTGACACTAAAGTACACAGCATTTTCAAATGGTCCAACAGTTTCAGGGTGGGATTGGAGGTCCTTCTTTAATCTTCACAGTGTGGAGTTGAGTGACCTGATGAACCCAACAGCAGCAATGTCTGTACTACAAATACAGGGTCAAATTCTTGTGGCGCTGAGGAAACCCCAACTGATCAATAACAGTGCAATGCAGCAAGGAAACACTTGAGTTATTAGGACAAAAGGGTAGTAGGACATCTTACAGCAAAGATCATTTTAATGGTCCCAAATATTCTGAACAACTAAGTGTACACTCATGTAAAAGGAAAAAAAAAGAGAAGATATGACAAAATTCATCACATCTAGAATTCCACTCAATCTTTAATCAAGACGGGATTACAAATTCTCCAAAAAATCTGCAGTTTCAAAGGGCAAAAAGGGTAAAACTAGCTCACCTACTGAGGTCTTTAAAAACCTGTTCAAGTGTGACTGAAAACATCCTGAACATTTAAAGGCAGGTCTTTTTTGTTGTCATTTACAAAAAAAACAGGAGAAAGATTGAGAGACAAATACAGAACAAAAAGAAAATAATCAAGAAACTGCTGGCTTTTTTTTTTCTCTTCAGAGAAAGAACGTCCGCTGAGGAACGACGACACTGATGACATCATCAAACGACAACAAGGACAGCTCTTTGCCAAATGCTGCCTCCCGTCTGGTCCTATATACTAACTTAAAAAAAAAGGGACAATAAGCAACAGACAGAGAGGGAGAAAGAGCAGAGGAGAAAAGAAGTAGAAAGAAACAAGGAGGAAGGTAAATTCTGAGGAAGGGGTGGGGGTGCGAGTGGTGGTTCTGGGTCTGAATTGGCCGACCCATTTGGGCCGCTGTGATGTCCTTCCCTGAGTGGGGGGTGGGGGGAGGGGCAGTGGGTTATGGTCCGAGCCCGTAAGCTCTCTGGGATTTCACTCTGCGTGTACATGTGTATGTGGTCTTTTCCTCCAGTTGCTAAATCACCAAAGTCCAACCCGTCTCATACTGTCCAAGTGTGCAGACGATCTTTTGAGTGTGATCTTTTCCCCCCAGCTTTCACACGTCTGTTCCACTTTTCAGACGGGTTTTCACTCCTGGTTTCCTGATTGGCACTTGTATGAAGTGGGCTAGTCTGAGGAGGCTTGGTATCCATTCCGTCTGCTCCTCTTTTGGCCACCCGCTGACGGCGAGGGGTCGCTTTCATTCAATTTCTTTACAAGTTTTATCATTTCTGTGTAAAGTCGATTCGCTGAAACTGTCTGAGCGGAGCAAAAGTTGAGACAGTGA